GCTCCAGCAGCACGCCTCCAGTGCCGGGAAAACCACTCGCGCAGCTCCTGTGGAGAGAGTGGCTCCCGCCGAGACGAAGTACCCGAAGAACCTCCAGGCCCAGCACCGCCAAACGACACACGAGCAAGCACAGCTCCCTCAGGCTCCGCACCCCCAGGCTCAGCACCCCCATGCGTAGCATCCCCAGGCTCAGCACCCCCAGGCTCAGCACCCCCTGTGATAGCACCCCCTGGCTTACCACCCCCAGGCTCAGCACCCACCCGCTCAGCACCCCCAGAGTCAGCACCCCCAGGCTCAGCATCCTCAGCAGCACCAGAGTCACCAGTAACCTCGACAGGCTCGACTGCGTCTACCTGGGACACACCTGAAGGGGCAGGACCCTGAGGGGGGAGGGGGTCTACCGGGGGGGGACCTGGCACAAGGAAGAGTAGTGGCTGGGGGAGGGACGGAGTGCGGTAGGGGAAGAGGCGGTAGTAGGGGACCAACTCGTCAAACGTGACATCCTGGGAGGACAGAACACGGCGCGAGGTGGGGTGGTAGAACTTCCACCCTGGCGCGTGAGGGGGGAAGCCAAGGAAGACGCACGGAGCAGCACGAGGGGACAGCTTGTCCGCAGACAAGTCGCAGACAAACGCTTGAGATCCCCAGACACGGAACGCAGACGCATCGCCAACCTTCCCCGTCCACAGCAAAGCTGGGGAGGTCTCCGGCATGGAGACCCTGGGGTGAAGGTTGATCTGATGCGCCGCTTACCGAACCGCAAACGGCCACAGAAAATGGGGGGCAGCCGCATGCATCATGGACGTACGGGCAACGTCCATGACCATGCCAATGCGGCGCTCAGCAATCCCATTTTGCTGTGGAGGGTCCGGAAGCGTGAAGGTCTGGCGGATGCCTCGTGCACGTTAGTAGGCTCGCAGAAGGCCAGAGGAGAACTCTCCGCCTCTGTCAGAATGCAGACGCAGAACAGGAAAGTCTGAGCCGAAGCTCTGCCTAAGCTGGAGACGAGCTGCGCGGATCCAGTCGATCAACACCTCAGTGACATCACCCTTGCTGCGCAAGGGGAAGACTGTGGTGTAACGCGAGTAGTCGTCAACCACCAGCATGAAGTAGCGCTCGTGACCCTGTCCACGGACGCGGGCTGGGCCCCACACGTCCATGTGAAGCGTCTGCAGCGGGGCCTCTGTCGGAGGAAACTGGGAGGAGTGAGGGGCAGCCCGCTGCCGCCCCTCAACACAAGGTATGCAGGTAGGGCCAGGCCCCGGAGGAAGAGGAGGGAGGGACCGGGGAAAACCAGAGACAAGGACATGGGAGGCCATGCCTCCGAGACGAAGCAGGGAGGGGTGACCAAGGCGGTGGTGCCAGAGGAGAGTCTCGTGAGACAGGAGGCGACACGAGCAGGGGGAAGACTCAGGACCAGCCTGGACGCTGCAGCAAACACCTGACGCGACGCAGCTACCTGACCAGACGCAGTGACTGGAGGAGACGCAGTGGTCAGTGTGTACAGGCTCGACCCCGGCCAACGTGTAAACGTAGCCAGGTGTCGGCCTGTCCGAGCGTCCGTGCAGTGGGTCACCCGCTGACTCGCAGGAGTGAATTGGTGAACCCCCGCATCCTGTAGTGCAGCACCACTCACCCAGTTCGTAGAGAACGAGGGGAGGTAAAGACCAGATAGGGTGCCATAGGGGGCCGCCGGACACGGGAGGACAGTGGAGAAGTGAGCAAGGACACGACCCCCAGAGGGGTCTGCCAGAGAGACTGCAACTGGCCGGCCAAGCGGCGTGAGTGTGGTGTGGTCTCGAAAGAAGGAGCGAGAAGCCCCCGAGTCAAGGGTGAAGGTGTGGGAGGCCGAAGCCGACGCAGTCACTGAGAGAGCAGACTCACAAGTACCTGAGGGAGCAGACGCACGAGCACCTAGAGTAGCAGCCTCGCTAGCACCTAGAGCAGCAGCCTCACCAGTACCTAGAGCAGCAGTCTCAATGCCCGGGTCGGGCGGGAAACACCGATAACAGTCACCCTCATCACTAATAGTCACAGCGTATATGGCAGCAAGAATAGCATCAAAGTCAAGGTCAAAGACAGCTACTCCTGCCCTAGACAGCTCGCCCCAGCGGGGGATCTCAGTGGCCTCCGGAAACTGATGACGCCAAGTGTCCGTCAGGCGGCCAAAGCAGCGCTGGGTGGGGTGCGCACCCCCGCACTGCTCACCCGCGCGGTCGCCGGTGCGTAGGACGTAGGTGCACGGACCAGTACCCCCACCCCGCTGGCGTACAGCGTACCACTCACGGAGCTGCTGAGGGGGTGGGATGTCACGAGTGCGCTGCTGCTGCTACTGCTGCTGGCGCTGACCACCACCGGAGCCGACCCTCTGTGCAGCGCCACCCCGACTAACTCCACCTCCTCTACCACCGCCTCCTCCACCGCCGCCACCTCCGTGCCCACCGCCACCGCCGCCGCCTCCTCCGCCTCCACTGCCGCCACCGACACCTCCACCCCCGCCACCACCCCCACCGCCACCCCCAACCCCTCCGCCGCCTCCACCGCCGCCTCCACCGCCCCCGCTAGCTCCTCTTGCGCCCCTGCACCCCTTGCCCTTGCCAGGGAGGCGTCTCCCGCTAGGGGTAGACGCCACACCGACCGACTCAAGACCAACGAGTTCGGCCGCAGCAGCAGAGGCAATAGAGGGCAAAAGGGGGGAGGGGGAATACCCCTCAAAGATGGGGGTGCGAGGGTCACCACGAGAGGCTCCTACAGCTACTATGCTCTTCTCTGCTGCTAGGAGGGCCTTCTCGAGGAGGTCAACGGTGAGAGTGGTGGGGCAAACTGAGAGGAAGTGGTCCCGGACTACGCGAAGGGAGTCAGGGAGCCGGGTGACTATGTAGTAGAGGGTGATGTACATAGGGGGGGGGGTTCTTGGCGCAGAACTCAGCAGGAAGCGCAGCGCGGTAGCGAGTGTCACTAGTGCGGAGGTGCGTAATGAGGTCAGCGACTGTGGGAAAGGCAGCAAGGTCAGGGAAGAGGTACGGTAGCATGAGACGGCTCAGTGCAGCAGTGGCAGGGGAGGAGTAGCGTGCAACTACAGCGTCGTACAAGGTCTGAGCACTCTTGTACTGACTAAAGTGCGCATGCTTAGAGGTAGGCAGGTGGCGACGCACAGCAAGACGTGCAGCAGCATCGCGTGTGGCCCACTGTGAGCGAACAGTGGCGTCGGCATCAGCAGAAGGGGCAGGAGAGGCACCAGAGGTGAGGTCAAAGAGGGAGAGACCGTCTGCCCTATCGCACTGTAGGAAAAGCTGCAGGTCATCTACCCAGACGTCAAAGTTAATGGCCCGACCCTCAGCGTCAAAAGCGAGGACACTAGGGGTAGCCATGACAGCAGTAGACTAGTAGCGCGAACAGTAGGGTAAGGGCAGTGCAGTGAAAGAGGCGCTGCTCTTACCAGACAGGGCGCCTCGGCGGCTCGGGCGGCTCGGGCGGCGCGGCTTGAACCTGTCACTCCTTAACACGCGCAACTTGAACTTGTCTCACCTCCCATCAAAACTTCGGCCTCGCTTCTGTGGTCCCTTTCTCGTTGAGGCACAGGTGGCACCAGTATCATTCAGCTTGCGCTTACCTACTACATGGAAGTTTCACCGCTTTCCATGTTCAGCTACTGAAGCTCTATAAGGACCCCAACCAACATTTCCAGGGATGACAGATACCGCCACCACCACCTGTTCTCGTACAGGATGAACCAGAGTATGAGGTGGAACGTGTTCTCCCTCATCGGCGCCGCGGTAGCAAGTTGTTGAACTTATATGCTATAGTCTTTCTAGGCTGTAGTTGGGTAGACAGTATGGGGTACAGCTTTCTAGGGTTTCATATTTGTACCCAACTCATTGCCTAGTTCATTCATTCCTCATTTCTTCACATGGTAAAGAGCAGGTTCCCTAGTGGGAACTTTTCCTTGGGCCCACCACAAAAAAAAACAAAAAAAAAAAAAAAAAAAAAAATCTGCCCTGAGATCGAGTCGCCCCTGACCGAGGCGCGTCTTGTGGGCCGCCCTCACCTTAGCGGCACCTCGCGCCACCCTTAGCGGCCCCACTCACGGCCCCCACTCACGGCCCCGTCGCCACCCTTAGCGGCCCCGTCGCCGCCCCTTGCGACCCGGCCACCCTCTCGCGGCCCCATTGCCACCTCCGCGGCCCACCCGCCGCCCTTCGCGGCCGCGTCGCCTCCCTTTCGCGGCCCAATTGCCGCCCTCCAAGCGGCCCCGTCGCCGCCCTCTAGTGGCCCCGCTGCCGCCCTTCAGCGGCCCCGTCGCCGCCCCACTGCGGCCCCGTCGCCGCCCTCTAGCGGACCCGCCGCCGCCCCTCAGCGGCCCCGTCGCCGCCCTACCACAGCCCCGTCGCCGCCCTCTAGCGGCCCCGCCGCCGCCCTTCAGCGGCCCCGTCGCCGCACTACCGCGGCCCCGTCGCCGCCCTCTAACGGCCCCGACGCCGCCCTTCAGTGACCCCGTCGCCGCCCTACCGCGGCCCCGTCGCCGCCCTCTAGCGGCCCCGCCGCCGCCCCTCCGCGGCCCCGTCGCCGACCTCTAGCGGCCCCGCCGCCGCCCTTCAGCGGCCCCGTCGCCGCCCTACAGCGGCCCAGTCGCCGCCCTCCAGCGGCCCCATCGCCGCCCTACAGCGGCCCCTTCGCCGCTTTGTGCGGCCCCTCACCGGCCCTGCCACCGCCGTCGCTGAGCCGCCACCGAGCCGTCGGGCCGCCGCAGAGCCGTCGCCGAGCCACCGAGCCGCAGTGCCGGCGTCGAGCCGCCGCCGAGCCGCCGAGCCGCCGCCGAGCCGCTGCTGAGCCGCCGACCCGCTGCTGAGCCGCCGAGCCGCCGCCGCAGCAGTTGCGGCCCTGTTCCTGCCGGTGCGCCCCGGCCCTCCCCACCCGGACTAGTGAGAGCTTTCCCGAGCAGCGTCTCTGCCACTACACTACCTCTAGCCTGCTGCTCTCACCACTAGACTGCTGCTGTCATGGCTACCCCCAGTGTCCTTACCTTTGATGCTGAGGGTCGGGCTGTTGACTTTGAGGTCTGGGTCGATGACTTGCAGCTTTTCCTACAGTGCGATAGGGCAGACGGTCTCTCTCTTTTCGATCTCACGTCTAGTGCCTCTCCTGCCTGGCCTGCTGATGCTGATGCCACTGTTCACTCACAGTGGGCCACGCGCGATGGTGCTGCTCGCCTTGCTGTGCGCCGCCACTTACCGACCGCTGAGCGCGCGCATTTTAGTCAGTACAAGACTGCTAAGACCTTGTACGACGCTGTCGTTGCACGCTACTCTTCCCCTGCCATTGCTGCCCTTAGCCGCCTCATACTACCGTACCTCTTCCCTGACATGGCCGCTTTTCCCACACTCGCTGACCTCATTACGCACCTTCGCACTAGTGACATTCGCTACCGCACTGCGCTTCCTGCTGACTTCTGCGCCAAGAACCCCCCCCCTATGTACATCACCCTCTACTACATAGTTAGGGACCACTTCCTCTCTGTTTGCCCCACCACCCTTACCGTTGACCTCTTCGAGGAGCCCCTCCTAGCAGCAGAAAAGAGTATAGTCGCTGTAGGAGCCTCTCGTTGTGACCCTCGTACCCCTGTCTTTGAGGGGTGCTCCCCCTCCCCCCTCTTGCCCTCTGTTGACTCTGATGCTGCGGCCGACCTCGTTGGTCTTGAGTTGGTCGGCGCGGCGTTTTCCCCTAGCGGGAGACGCCGCCCAGGCAAGGGCAAGGAGGGCAAGGGCGCTGGACGGGCTGGCAGGGGCGGTGGAGGCGGCGGTAGAGGCGGCGGAGGGGGTGGGGGTGGCGGTGGGGGTGGCGGTGGGGGTGGTGGCGGGGGTGGAGGTGTCGGTGGCGGGGGTGGGGGTGGTGGCGGGAGTGGGGGCGCTAGTGGCGGCAGTGGAGGCGGAGGAGGCGGCGGTGGTGGCGGTGCGAGCGGTGGAGATAGCGGTGGCGGAGTTGGAGCTGGTCGGGGCGGCTCTTCGCAGAGGGTCGGCTCCGGTGGTGGTCAGCGCCAGCAGCAGCAGCCGCAGCGCACTCGTGAGACCCTTTCCCCCTACCAGCTTTGTGAGTGGTACACTGCTCGGCAGCGGCGTGGGGGTGCTGGCCCCTGTACCTACGTTCTGCGTACAGGCGACCGCGCGGGTGAGCAGTGTGGGGGTCGGCACTCCACCCAGCGTTGCTTCGGCCGCCTGACGGACACTTGACGTCATCAGTTCCCCAACGCTACTAAGATCCCTCGCTGGGGCGAGCTGTTTAGGGCGGGTGTTGCTATCTTTGATCTTTGTCAGTAGAGCTACACTGTGAGATCCCCGATCGATCCTAGGGGGGGTTACAGGTGCGTTTGCCTGGGGGGTTATGGGCGCACTGACCCGCTACTGAAACAAGCCCTTTTATCCCAATGATCTAGTGGTTGGGATTCTGACTTGGTATCAGAGCGGTCTCGGGTTCGAATCCCGCTGTATGCACATGTTGGCCGTTGCCGCTGTGCTCAGTCCTGGTCCTCCCAGTGTGGGGGGGTGTTAGTAGAGCTACACTGTGAGATCCCCGATCGATCCTAGGGTTGGGTTATAGGCGCGTTTGCCTAGGGGGTTATGGACCCACTGACCCGCTACTTAAACAAGCCCTTTTATCCCAATGGTCTAGTGGTTGGGATTCTTACAATCTTGATTATGATGCTATTCTTACTGCAATGTATGCTGTGCCTATTAGTGATGAGGGTGACTGTTACCGGTGTTTTCCGCCTGACCCGGGCATTGAGGCTACTACTCTAGGTGCTAGTGAGTCTGCTGCTCCAGGTGCAAGTGAGTCTGCTGCCCCAGGTGCTGGTGAGTCTGCGCTCTCAGGTACCGCGTCGGCTCCGGCCACCCACACCTTCACCCTTAACTCGGGTGCTTCCCGCTCCTTCTTTCGAGACCGCACCACGCTTACGCCGCTTAGTCGGCCTGTGGCAGTCTCCCTGGTAGACCCCTCTGGGGGTCCTGTCCTTGCCCACTTCTCCACTGTTCTACCGTGTCCAGCGGCCCCTTGTGGCACCCTGTCGGGTCTTTACCTCCCCTCGTTCTCTACGAACTTGGTGAGTGGTGCTAACCTCCAGGATGGAGGGGTTGACCAGTTCACTCCTACGAGTCAGCGAGTGACCCACTGTACCTGTGCTCAGACGGGCCGTCACTTGGCCACGTTTACCCATCAACCAGGGTCGAGCTTGTACATACTCACTACTGAGTCTCCTCCGGTCGCTGAGTCTGCTCAGGTAGCCGCATCGAGTCAGGGGTTTGCTGCGGCCTCCAGGTCTGGTCCTGAGTCTGCCCCCTGCTCGTGTCGTCTCCTGTCTCACCAGACTCTCCTCTGGCACCACCGCCTTGGTCACCCCTCCCTGCCTCCTCTTCGAGGCATGGCCTCCCGTGTCCTTGTCTCTGGTCTCCCCCAGTCCCTCCCTCCCCTTCCTCCGGGGCCTGCCCCCATCTGCGTTCCCTGCGTCGAAGGGCGGCAGCGCGCTGCTCCTCACTCCTCCGAGTTTCCTCCGAGAGAGGCTCCGCTGCAGACGCTTCACATGGACGTGCGGGGCCCAGCCCGCGTCCGTGGACAGGGTCACGAGCGTTACTTCCTGCTGGTGGTTGACGACTACTCGCATTACACCGCAGTCTTCCCCTTGCGCATCAAGCGTGAGGTCACTGAGGTGTTGATCGTCTGGATCCGCGCAGCTCGTCTCCAGCTCAGAGAGAGTTTTGGCTCGAACTTTCCTGTTCTGCGTCTGCACTCTGACAGAGGCAGAGAGTTCTCCTCTGACCTTCTTCGAGCTTTTTGTCGTGCACGAGGCATCCGCCAGACGTTCACGCTTCCGGACTCTCCGCAGCAAAATGGGATCGCTGAGCGCCGCATTGGCACGGTCATGGATGTCGCTCGTACGTCCATGGTCCATGCCGCTGCCCCCCATTTTCTATGGCCGTTTGCGGTTCGGTACGCGGCGACCCTCCCGGGTCTCCATGCCGGAGACCTCCCCTGCTTTGCTGTGGACGGGGAAGGTTGGCGATGCGTCTGCGTTCCGTGTCTGGGGATCTCGAGCTTTTGTCCGCGACTTGTCTGCGGAAAAGCTGTCCCCTCGTGCTGTTCCCCGCGTCTTCCTTGGCTTCCCCCCTGACGCGCCTGGGTGGCAGTTCTACCACCCCACCTCGCGACGTGTTTTGTCCTCCCAGGACGTCACGTTTGACGAGTCGGTTCCCTACTACCGTCTCTTCCCCTACCACACTGCATCCCTCCCCCCCCCCGCCGCTCTTCCTTACACCAGGTCCCCCTCCGGTAGACTCCCTCCCCCCTCAGGGTCCTGCCCCCTCAGGTGTGTCTCAGGTAGACGCAGTCGACCCTGTCGAGGTAGCTGTTGAATCTGGTGCTGCTAGGGATGCTGAGCCTGCGGGTGCTGGGTCTGGGGGTGCTGAACCTGGGAGTGCTGAGCCTGGGGGTGCTGACTCTTGGGGTGCTGCGCCTTGGGGTGCTGAGCCGGGGGTTGCTACGCCTGGGGGTGCTGCGTCTGGGGGTGCTGAGCTTGGGGGTGCTGCGTCTGGGGGTGCGGAGTCTGAGGGTTCTGGACCTGCTCGTGTGGCATCTGGCGGTGCAGGGCCTGGAGGTTCTTCGGGTGCTTCGTCCCGGCGGGAGCTACTCTCTCCACAGGAGCTGCGTGAGTGGTTTGCCCGGCGCTGGAGGCGAGCTGCTGGAGCTGGAGGTGCTACGTGTGCTGGAGGTTCTGCTGCTACTGAAGGTGCTGGTGCCGCGGGTCCCGGAGGTGCTCGTACTGGGAGTACTGGAGCTGCTGGGCCTGCGGGTGTTTCTCTTACTGGCGCTGGTGGTGCTGCGAGCGTGGGTGCTACTGAGGGTGCTGGAGCTGGACCCGCTGTGTCTTCTGGTGGTTCGGCTGGAGCTGGAGCTGCTGGGGGTGTTGGCACTGAGGGTGCCTCTGGTGCTGGTGCCTCTGAGCGTACTGGAGTTGGCACTGCTGGAGCTGGGGGTGCTGCTGGCGCTGGTGCTGTCGTTCAGGGTGCTGGTGCTGTCCCTTCTGGTGCTGGTGGTGCTGAGCGGCCGCGGCCGTACTTCGTTCCGCTCCTTGAGCAGGTTCTTGGTCTTCCGCCCTCTGCTAGTCCAGCTCCTCCCTTAGAGTGTCCACCGCCTGTCCAGTCCGAGTCACAGTTACAGCCTACCTCTCCTCTGCCTGCTACTTCTCCCTACACTGGTCCTACTGGAGGTCTTGCTGAGCGTCGTGAGCCTGCGTCTCGTCCTGCGTCGCCTGTCCGTGCTCCTCGCACTAGTAGTCGTGGTTCGCGTCAGCGTCCTCCCCCTGTCCCAGGCACGCACCGGATGTCTCTGCGTCCCTCCACTGCTCCGCTGCGTGCCCCTTTGCCTTCTCCTCCTGAGTCCTCTCTTCCTGTTCTTGCTGACTCAGAGTCGGACTCCCTTCGTGCTGCCAGTCCTACTGTCACGCGTCTCCTTGGTACTGCCGTCACTGACCCTTCCTTTGAGTCCGCTGCTGCGTCTGCCTTAGTTTCAGGGTGAAGCGGCCACCGGGTTCTCCGCCTGTCTTCAAGGCGCGCTACGTGGCTCGTGGCTTCAATCAGCTACAGGGAGTTGACTACTTTCAGACCTTCTCTCCCACCCCAAAGATGACCACTCTACGGGTGCTGCTGCACATAGCTGCTCACTATGACTACGAGCTGCACTCTCTTGACTTCAACACTGCTTTCTTGTAGGGCAGCCTGCACGAGGAGATCTGGCTGCGTCGCCCACCTGGCTTCACTTGGTCTTTTCAACCTGGTACCCAGTGGAGCCTCCGGCGGCCAGTCTACGATCTCCGCTAGGCACCTCGTGAGTGGCACGACACACTGAGGACTACACTTGCGGCTCTTGGGTTTGCTCCTTCTACTGCCGACCCGTCGCTGTTTCTGCGCACCGACACTTATTTGCCGCCGTTCTACATCCTCGTGTACGTCGACGACTTGGTCTTTGCCACAGCTGACACTACTTGACTCGCCCACGTGAAGTTTGAGTTGCAGAAGAGACACACGTGCACAGACCTGGGTGAACTGTGCAGCTACCTTGGCTTGCAGATCACCCGGGACAGAGCACGCCGCACCATTACCGTGACTCAGTCACACATGGTGCAGCAGGTCCTTCAGCGCTTCGGCTTCACGTACTCCTCGCCTCAGGCCACTCCTCTGCCTACTCGCCACTCGCTCTCAGCTCTGCCTTCGGATGAGTCCGTAGAGTCGAGTGGCCCGTAACCAGAGCTTGTTGGATGCCTCATGTACCTGATGACCTGCACTCGACCTGACCTTGCATACCCTCTTAGCATTCTGGCACGCTATGTTGCTCCTAGGAGACACATACCAGAGCACATGGCTGCAGCGAAGAGGGTGTTGCGCTACTTGTGTAGTACGTCGGGCATGGGGCTTGTGCTTGGAGGGTGGAGTCCAGTTGTCCTCACTGGTCACGCAGACGCTTCTTGGGCTGACGACCAGGCTACGCAGCGGTCGTCACAGGGTTACACCTTCAGCCTTGGTTCCGCCTCTGTTTCGTGACGGTCTACCCGCTCGTCTTCTGTTCTCGGCTCCAGTTGTGAGGCTGAGATCTACGCGGGGGCCATGGCTGCACAGGAGTTACGCTGGCTCACCTACCTGCTGACTGACCTTGGAGAGCCGCCTCGTTCTACTCCAGTTCTGTACGTAGACAACAAGGCCATGCTGGCCTTTTGCCGGGAGCACAGACCGGAGCACAGAACGAAGCACATTGCGCTTCGCTACTTCCTTGCTCGTGAGCTGCAGCAGTGTGGTCAGCTACGACTTGCTTACGAGGCCTCTGAGGCCAACACTGCTGATATCTTCACCAAGGCACTCGCGCGTTGTGATCATCAGCGCTTCTGTACTTTGTTAGGTCTTGTACCTACTTTTCCTCACTTGCTCACTTCTCGACCTTGCTTGTACTGTGACCTATATATACTTGCACTTGCATGTTTAGCTTTATCTATATATGCTTGCATGTGAACTGGCCTTGTGGCCCTTGAACTTGTACTCAGAATGTGTGGTGACGTTGGGATCCACCCTGAGCTTGCTGTGCTTTGCTTGACTGGTCTTGTGACCCCTTGTTCTCCCCCACTTTGCCTATGGGGGTGTGTTGAACTTATATGCTATAGTCTTTCTAGGCTGTAGTGG